TGGGCTGCCAAAAGAACCAACAGATTTAAAAAATGATTTAAAATTTATTTTTAAATAATCCACTGTTATTATTATCCAAATATACTAAAAATTTCCAAGGTCTGTTTTTTTGAAAAAAAAAATTGTTTATTTGGATGTCAATAAGCATTGTAAGAACTACATAATGAGGGCAGTAAATGTTATGGGACCACATAAATTTGCAAAATGATGGGTTAAAGTTAAATAAAATACTTAAATAGGTCAGTGGTGGTCTTCTAAGAGCCCTTCTATGTTAATGTGCATTTCTCAATCTCTAAAAGGAGGGCCCACAACCCATCTGTCAATTTGTTATACTGTGATACCTTGCATGTTGCTATGATGCTGGAATTTTTGCCACCAGCATTTCAAATACTAACAGAGTCACCAATAATGGACAGGCTTTTGTGGAACTTCTAGACTAAGACAAACTAGGAAGAAAGTCCTGGTGGCCTACTTCCAAAATGGGTCAATGAAAGCACTATGGTTCACAATAGAGTACTGAAAGATGAGGTCGCAAAGTTGGAAGGCACTCAAAATAGACACTGGTCGCCCGCCCTGTTCCACCCCGCGTCTCCGGGAGGCCGAGTCCTGCGCCGCGACCCCACCCCCCCCAACATGCTAAGAACATGGTGATGCAAGCGGTGTGGAGCATGCGGGTCGCGGCCTGTAGCTTGCGTGAGCCCTTCTGGACTAGACGCTGGGGGCCGGGAAGGGCACATTGTGGACGCTGCGCACCTGCAACGCTCTGTTCTCGGTGCCTAAGTTCACAGACAAACTTGAATGGGTAGCAACTGACGATGGTATTGGAACAGTGGGAATCAGCAATTTTGCACAGGAAGCTTTGGGAGATGTTGTTTATTGCATTCTTCCTGAAGTTGGAACAAAATTGAATATACAAGATGAGTTTGGTGCTTTGGAAAGTGTGAAAGCTGCTAGTGAACTCTACTCTCCTTTATCCGGAGAGGTAACAGAAATCAATGACGCTCTTACAGAAAATCCAGGACTCAATAACAAATCCTGTTATGAAGATGGTTGGCTGATCAAGAAGACATTGAGCAATCCATTAGAACTTGATGAACTAATGAGTGAAGAAGCATATGAGAAATACATAAAATCTATTGAGGACTGAAAATAAACAGTGGTCACAGTAATGGACTTCAGCTAAAGATGGTGCAGGGCAAGCAGTGTTTCCTTGTGTTGTATTTGAATTCTCAGTGCCAACTGGACAGCAGTTAACAACAAAAAGTAGGGTAGCATGTATAGCAGTTTCCTAGCTTTTTTTGAGACCAGAGACTTCTTTTGGTGGGGAAAAGAGTTTGCAGAAATAATGCTCTCTTAATATACCACATTAGGAAACTCTAGACTGAGATAAAAATGAATGTTTACCTCTTTTGTATTGATTACATCTGAGTGTAAAGAAAACAGAAATCCTCACAACTGGCCAATAAACATCATGATCAATGCAAATGAAGTTTCCAATTATTTCATTCTACTTGGATCAGAAATCTGTTTCTAGCAGCAACAGACAAGGGATCAAACAACATGTTACACTGGGCAAATCTGCTGGAAAGATCACTTTAAGGATTTAAAGGCCGGCGTGTTTCGACGACGGAATGTCTCACAGGAAATTCTCGGCTCCCAAGGCTTCCTGCCTCGGAATCGCAGCAGCCGGCATCGCGGGAAGGTGAAGAGCTTCCCCAAGGATGACGCCTCCAAGCCTGTCCACCTTACAGCCTTCCTGGGCTACAAGGCCGGCATGACCCACATCGTGCGCAAGGTCGACAGGCCAGGGTCCAAGGTGAACAAGAAGGAAGTGGTGGAGGCTGTGACCATTGTGGAGACACCGCCCATGGTGGTGGTCGGCATCGTGGGCTATGTGGAAACTCCTCGAGGTCTCCGGACCTTCAAGACTGTCTTTGCTGAGCACATCAGTGATGAATGTAAACGGCGCTTCTACAAGAACTGGCATAAATCGAAGAAGAAGGCTTTCACCAAGTACTGCAAGAAGTGGCAGGACGACGATGGCAAGAAGCAGTTGGAGAAAGACTTCAGCAGCATGAAGAAGTATTGCCAGGTCATCCGTGTCATCGCCCACACCCAGATGCGCCTGCTTCCTCTGCGCCAGAAGAAGGCCAACCTGATGGAGATTCAGGTGAATGGGGGCACAGTGGCCGAGAAACTGGACTGGGCCCGGGAGAAGCTGGAGCAGCAGGTGCCTGTGAACCAGGTGTTCGGGCAGGATGAGATGATTGATGTCATCGGGGTGACCAAGGGCAAGGGCTACAAAGGAGTCACCAGCCGCTGGCATACCAAGAAGCTACCCCGCAAGACCCACCGAGGCCTGCGCAAAGTTGCCTGTATTGGGGCCTGGCACCCTGCCCGCGTGGCCTTCTCTGTGGCGCGTGCTGGGCAGAAGGGTTACCACCACCGCACTGAGATCAACAAGAAGATCTACAAGTTTGGCCAGGGCTACCTTATCAAAGATGGCAAACTGATCAAAAACAACGCCTCCACTGATTACGATCTGTCTGACAAGAGCATCAACCCTCTGGGTGGTTTTGTCCACTATGGTGACGTGACCAACGACTTTGTCATGCTGAAAGGCTGTGTGGTGGGGACCAAGAAGCGAGTGCTCACATTGCGCAAGTCCTTGCTGGTACAGACCAAACGCCGGGCACTGGAGAAGATTGATCTCAAGTTCATCGACACCACCTCCAAGTTTGGCCATGGCTGCTTCCAGACAGTGGAGGAGAAGAAGGCGTTCATGGGACCACTTAAGAAAGACCGAATTGCAAAGGAAGAAGGTGCTTAATGTGGGCAGCTGGTGGAACCTCAATAAAAACTATTTTCCAGTGGGGGAAAAAAATAAATAAAAGGATTTAAAAATCAATGATGTCACTTTGATAACTAAGGTGTGCCTGTCCCAAGATATGATCAATTCAATTGCCTCATATGCATGTGAAAGCTAGACAGTAAAAGACAAAGGAAGAAGAATTGATGCATTTGCATAATAATATTGACAAAGAAGATTTACTGTCACATGGACTGCCAGAAGAATGAACAAATCAGTCTACAAGAAATACAACTGGATACTCCTTAGAAGCAAGGATGATGAGATTTTATCTTGTTTACTTTGAATATGTCATCAGGAGGGACCAATCATTGGAGAAGAACATTGTTGTTGTTGTTGTTAGGTGCCATCGAGTTGGTACCGACCCGTTGCATCCTTATGTACAGCAGAATAAAACACTGCCTGGTCCTGGACCAACCTCACTACTGTTGACAAGCTTGAGTCCATTGTTGCTGCCACTTGGCCAATCCATCTCGTTGGGGAGTCTTCCTCTTTTTCTCTGACCCTCCACCTTACCAAACATGATATCCTTATCCAGTGACTGGTCCCTCCTGACAATATGTCCAAAGTATGAGAGATGAAGTTTGGCCATCTTGGCGTCTAAGGAGCACTCTGGCTACACTTCTTCTAAAACGGATCTATTGGTTCTTTTGGCATGGAGAAAAGCATAATGCTTGGTAAAGTGGAGTGTCAACAAAAGAGAGGGAAACCCTCCATGAGATGGGATGACACAATCATCACTACAGTGGATTTAAACACAGTAATAATTGTGGGACCAAAGTTTCAGTGTTACATTTAAGGTCACCATGAATCAGAGCCCACTCAATGGCATCCAACAATAACAAATGTATTAAGCAATTCTTTTAAGTTTCCTAACATCTTGCTACCTCAGTATTATAGTTTGAGCTGTAGCCTTTGCAAGCTTTCAAGCACAGAGAATTAGAATCCTGAAAGAAGGTGTTAGTCTGAAATTCCAATATCAGAAGTAGCTATTGAAGTCATCTTAAAGGTACAATTATGTAGCTACTCTCTCAAAGCTGTTTACCAGCTCACGTAAAGCCTGTCTGAGTCAAAACAAGGTAAGTCTAGACAAGCTGTATCAACAAAGGTTGATGAGTTCTAAGAAGAGCATTGCAAGTTCCCTATCAATCTAATGCAGAGTGTCAATGTCTGTCCTCTCATTGCGTAATTCATTTAGAAATGACAAACTATTAATAGTAACTTTATTGAATAAATGACTTGGGTTAATATTGTAGAAGATTTGAAAAACAAGCATCATCTTATATTTAATTTTCCTCTGTGAAATTATGCATAATTAGGTGAAGGTCTTTAAAAAATAGAATAATTAATGTGATATTAATGTTATCTTTTATATTGTCTAGGAGTGGTTCAGTAAAACATTTTAGACTACAGCTATTACTTTCAATGAAAAAATTTTAAGGAAAAATGTACTCTTTTCCAAATTGATTTTACATTTTCATTCTACTCACTCTAACTACCTGAATCCTAGGTGTTTAGTGAATGGAATTTTCAGACTTGATATTGATTAAACTGATGCTGAGTCAATATTATTGCTGAAGTTTATTGTGGATGACAGAAAGTGTGGAGAAAACAGCAATGATGAGTAAGAGATTGTATTTTAGAAATAAAAAGTATGTATATACATATCTGTGTCATGAAAATCGAGGGCATAAACAGAAATTTGAATTCATTGAAATGAAATGTTGATTCAACAAACTTTAATTGCAGTACTACAATGCAACATCTATAAAATATTTAAATACAGAGTTGAATAAGTCTCCATTTTGATGGATTCACAGTGTAGTAGGACAGACACTTATGCAAATAATCTGAAAGGAAACATGCTACCATGGAGGAATGTGGAGATGAGGGAGAACAGTAGGAGTGACTAACCCTAGAAATGTGGGTACACAAAATCAATACCTGTCTATTCTTTGCATGTTTCTGCATTTGAAATCATCTATGAAAAGTAGTACCAAAGGCAACAATAAATAAATTGATCTTCACCAAGTAGGTAGCACGTAGACTGAAAGGATCTTTTTCTTTATGTCTAGGTAGAGTGTTGGTGGGGACATTGAGACCTAATTTTATTACTTATAAATAAAAAGCATTAAATATCTTTGACTTGTTTATGATTTTATTTTCTAAATGAAGAAATCTACTGATAGCTTTAATAGGCAGCAGATGTTTGCAACTCTGTAATCTCATGATCTCAGTAAATGCCACTGAGCAAGATAAGAATCTAGTTTCTTTTTCTCATCCTGTTCTAATCTATTTACAGTCAACACTGAATACTCCTTCCTATAATTTAAGAGATCATAAGAAAATTGAATGTGCAAATGTTAGTGACTGGGAACATGTGATCCCATAAGTTTCATTATCTTTGATCTCATCTTGCTAATGAAGTTCTCATTAGTAGACCCATCTTTTAAGTTACTCTTGGAAATACTAAAGAAATATTTGATTAATATTTACCTCATTGTATTAGTTTTCATTTACTCTCACCCTAACAGTTATGATCCTTTCAAAAGAGAGAGAAATCCTATCGGAATCTATTTGAATGTACTTTGCAAATAAAAGCTAATAGGTAGCTGAAGTCAATGCCTTATTCCTAAATCTACATAAGTGATGAATTATGATTTAAGTGTGTCACTGTAGGATCAGTACTAGACTGAATGAATCACAGCATCAGCAGTTCAAACCGACAGCTGTTCCTTGGAAACCCTATACAGGGTTGCTCTCAGTCAGAAGTGACTCGATGGCACATGCAACAACAGCAACGATTAAAGAATATATATTATATGGAGGTGGGATGGACTGTCTTGTTTGCACAGTGTATGACATAAAAGCAAATGTATTCCAAAGGTCAGTCACATAGAGGCAATTTGTAAAAGAAGTTATATATATATATATAAACTATTATGAAATGACTGTGTCAATTTTTAAAACTTCTAATAGCACTGTTCTAGAGATTTACCTTTCCTTTTAAATATCCAAGCGGCTAACAATAGTGATTTATTTGCTTTGCTTATTCTCATTAATTATGTGATTTTCTTAGAAAAATCTATTAAAGTTGCCTGGCCATGCTCTGTTCTTTCAAGAATCACGACACTTAACTGTTCATGACTCTATTAACTCCACTTTCAACATGTCCTTTCTAATGTTCTGCTTTGGTGTTTGTTTATTTGTTTGCTGTTTTCTTCCCCCCACCCCCACCCCCACCCCGAGTGTAGATGTGAGATCACTAGACTTTTATTTCTGGGCTTACCTTCCTGCTGAAGAAAGCAATTGTAAGTCAACAGAATAGTCATTCTTAGCCTGATTCTAATATTACTGTGACTAGAAGTGGCCTCTGTGTTCCATTGTTTTCTGTGCTTGTCTGGTGATTTGAAATTAAGCTTGATTTATTATCCTGTTTTTCTTTTCTTTTCTTTTTTTTAGGTTAAATAAACTCTTTCTGAGTCTTTTGAATACCAGTGAAACACAAGTATTAATCCTGTTGCATTTCAAAGTGTTTGTGAGTTCAATTTCAAAGGATCACCTGGGTTCATTTTGTGAGTTTGATCCAATCAGATAACTTCTCTTTGTTAATTTCCTCTGTGTAGAAGTCAAAAGGGATCATTTACCAACTTTACTTATAGCAGTAGTGTAGGAAGATTTTTTTTTTTTTTACTGCTATTGAGGTTCTACAATGATCAAAATTAACTCCAGGGGAAAAAATACCATTTGGGTACATTGTGTCCAGGTAGTATGTTTCCATTTTTTATGTTAGTGCCTTCTTCTGCTTCCTAAAGCTCAGTGAATTTGACAACTCAGCTATTTCAAATGCAGGACTCCTGCCAACATAAAACTCTGCCAATCTTTCAGATTATTATTTTCTCTTAGTTTGTTGTATTTCCATAACATAATGAAGTTATCAAAGACTTCATTTTGCTTGGAGCCACAATCAACACTTATGGAAGCAGCATTCAAGAAATTAAACAGTGTATCTATTAGGAAAATCAACCACACAAGACCTCTTTAAACTGTTAAAGAGCATAAATATCAATTTGAGTACTAGGATTCACTAACCCAAACCCTGGTATTTTCAATCCCCTCATATTCATGTGATAGTTGGACAATGAATAAGGAAGACTGTAGAATTGATGAATTTGAGTTATGGTGTTGGAAAAGAATATTAAAATGCCATGGGTTGCCAGAATAACAAACAAATCTATGTTAGTAGAAGTACAGCCAGAATGCTCCTTAGAAGCCAGGATAACTAGACGTCATCTCTCATACTTTGGACATGTTGTTTATCAGGAAGGATCAGTGCTTGGCAAAGGACATCATGCTTAGGAAAATGGAGGGTGAGCAAAAAAGAGGAAGACCTTCAAGGAGCTGGACTAACCCGTCAAGGAGTGGTAGCAGCGATGGGCTGTACCAACACTCTGAGGACGGCACAGGACCAGGCACTGTTTCTTCCTGTTGTGCGAAGGCTCTCGATGACTCAGAACTGACTCAGCAGCACCTAACAATAAAAACAATGAACACATGTCCAAATGTAGATTCAGATGTCAGTGATGTGGAAATGTCGGCGTATTCCTGCCAACCCCATTATAATTTTTATGCCATCTGAGTTTCACATATACCAATGGCTGGTGTTAATGAAGAATTTTAAAACTGGAGGTATTCATATCAGATGTAAGAATGACAAGTAATGGGCAAATATGTATTCCCAGGAAGTAAAATCTCAGGATGTAAGCCATTTGTGCACACTAAGAATTTGTCAAGATATAAGCAAGGGGTTCCTGGAGGAAACTGTATTCATGATTTCAATCATGTATAACGAAAATCAACTAGCTTCAGTCACCTTAGTGTAAGTCCCTCCCTTCTAGCCGAGTGGCCAACCTTTATATTTCAAAGGATTTCAAAATGAACCTGAAATTATCTATGTTATT